TTATATATTTATATATATATATATATATATATATATATATATATATATTATACCTTAGTAACATTTTTTATATGTAATTATATGTTATATTTTTTGTATTGATAATAAAAGTTGATATTAAATATAATATAAATATTCGAGCTAAGAATTTAATTTTAATCAAATAAAGAACACCACAACTAAGTCAGGAATACAGGGTGATTATAAAGAATTTTACACAGTGAATTAATTAAAATCATTTTATATGTTTGAAATAAATCATTATAAAAGTCAATCTAATTTAATTACCATACAAATTGGATAATTGTGTGAAAAGCTTTCCATGAATGTATTTCAATTAGATTCAAAACATTTTTTCTTAGTGCTATTTTTTTAAGTCGGAGTACTATTTTTTTAATTAAAGGAAGATGTAACCACACGAGTCTATTTCAATTAGTTAAATAGGATATATGAGTTGTTATAAACTTCTTATCAAGTTCAACTCTCAATAGATTAAATTTTTTTAAAAGGAAAATGGAAGTGAATTGAAAATGGGACAGGCTATTTGAGTGCAAACCAAGTTAAATTACGTAAATTGTTTGATATGTCGTACCATTAATTTAAGGCATAAAAACATCATTTTGAACCAATAAAAAACTTCTGATGTTGAGATGCGTAAGATTTTATATTCGAGCTCTTGTTAATCATTATAATTTCTATATAAAAAAATTTTAAAAAAAGAAGAATCTTACCCGACGAACAATGTCAAGACAGAGATGCCTCTGAATCTGGCGTCGAATGTCCAAAGGCAAAGCACGCAAAATGGCTTCTTCATCTACTCCTCTCGTGGCAAGCCATTTATATTGAACAAATCGGCGAACACGTTGTTGCAATTCTGGTGGAAGCTGCCTGTGATTCATCCACTCTTCTGTGTCTTTCTGTTTAAGTCTCCACTCTTCTACTCTTGCAGTGTTAGATTGCAGATAATTCTTTTTCCAAAACCAAAAGCAAAAATCAGTACACATTGTTACAACAATTTGTCAACCTGTCTTTTTTCATAAATGCTAATGCACATTTTTAGATATGTATACTATTTGTTATCAATCAAATTTATTAAAAATTATAAATTTGTAGGTGTCACTTTTATTTAATAGAGTAATTGATTATGATTTTGTAGTTTCATCGCAAAGAAATTAACTTGCATCAATAGATGAAAATTATTATTAGAAGTTAAAAAATTGTCGGATAAATGCCTTGTTTATATTGGTGCATAGATCTATTTATTTATTTTATGAGTTGTATAACAACTTTTTAGACTTTATCTATGACAATTAACAATTATTTACACAAATTTATAAGTAGAATTAGTTTTTAGTCTAATCAACAATTATCATGTTTGTAAAATCAAAACACTTTGTAAACATAAGTCTTTTCTCTAGTAGTATTTGTAATACATATTTAACTTCTATATGTTAAAAGGAGTATCTTAACACTTTTTCTTAAAAAATACTTTGAGGGTAATTTGCTTCATAAGATGGCTAGAGTAGGATTTATAATATTTTACCTGCATGTTACCAATGAGATGAGCAAACAGAATAAGACCAGCGATGCATATGAAACTCGAAAATAATGTTTCACCACTGTAAGTGCTAGTTTGAAGATTCTGTCCATATGAACTACACATGGCAAAAAATGGTTTAAAACTAATTAGAAAACCCTAAAAAGTTATTATATCTCACTACTAATACTAGATATTTTTTTGTGTTAATGTCTTGGATTTCAAACCAAACTTTAACAGACAACTACATTTGACATGAAATATCTTCAAACTAGATTCTAAATCCATACCTTAGATTCTTCAAACCCCACCAGAGGCAGTAAAAGTACTTTTGGAAGAAATGGGCTGAAGAGACGTGATCAGTGAAAGCGTCAGCGAACATTCCAAACTGAAACTGGTTTTTATCGTTGAGGGCATCGCAGTTGGTGAGAAGTCTGGTGCGTTTGAACCAAGCTTGCCTCTCGCGTTGTAGCATGGTACCACAGTCCAGAAAAGAAGGATTACAAGATGGAGAGTGCGTTCTGTTCATCTCCTTTTTGCATGTGATTCTCCAACACTCGTACTGACGCTGAATTGATGACACGTACCATGAAGCTCCTAAAACCTGCACTCACAACATTCATGTACCATATTTGAAACCAAAATATTTCATATATATTTCCACATTTTCAGATTAGTCTCCATGTGTCTCTCTAGAGCTATCAAGTTATCTTATTACATTTTTCTCTTTTTATTTTTAACATGCTTGTAAAGATTTTGTGTACAATCTTTTAGTAAAAGCTTTCTAATTATTAGATAACAATATAACAAGAAATGCATGCATATCAAGAATGTGTGACTAATTTCTAATTTGAAAATTGGAAGTATTGTGCATGAATGATTACATGGCTGGCTAGCATGTAGGAACCAAGATTGTATAAAGCCCCTGCCAAGGCAGTTTTGGCAATGAGGCCACTAGTCTTCAAGATTCTCCGTTGCAGAGGAAAAATCTGAAACAACCGAGGAATAAACTGAATGAGGACAATCAAGGACAGGGTGTGATTTACATGAGCCACCGTTGAATTTTTTAGTGACGGAATCACGAGCCAAACCACTGTCTGCAATTGCATACATGAAGGGAAAAAATGAAAAAATAAATAAATAAATCAATGGTATAAGATATTCTATAACTTTGTCGATCTTTATTGGAAAATCTAACTAATTAACTAGCTTTAGGAGATTTCTTTTCTGAGAATGTTGTTGATGGATAGCAATAGCATATATATATACCTGAGGGAGAGGGAGGGTGGCGAGGAGATCAATGATGAAGTTAGACTTGAGGTAGCGGGAGGCGATTTGGTGAGGATCAGTGACGAGTTCTTTGCGGCCATAGACGCGGGAATTGGGAGAGATGAAGGCGGTGCGGAACTTGAGGAACATGTGGAAGACGAAGAAGAGGTCAGCGACGGTGCGGGAGAAGGTGACGAAGATGCCGAGCGTGATGTCGGTCTGCATGCAGGCTTGGTCCCCCGTGATGGGGAAGTAGAAGTAGAGAGGGTCCAGGAACAGCGCTGCGATGCACACGTACAGGAACATGCGGTTCCACTGCGCCACGAACTTCGACCGAGGGTCCAGGATTTGGTACCACCATGGCACCTTCTTTCGGAGCGAGAACGATTTCGGCAAGTTCCCCAAGTGCGATGAAACCGCTGCGAATCTGTAGAACTCGCTGCTCATCCTTCTATCCTACCTTCTTCTTTTTTTTTCTTCTTTTTTTTCCTTCTCTCATGAGTTACCCATCCCACCCCAAATGAACGACGAGGGAGAAAAAAAAAGGGTTCTGAAAATGTGGAAGGATATTGGGATCGACGTAAAATGAGGAATGAACGCCAATATATATAGGAAATTTGGAATGTGCATGCTTATTCATGGCATGAATGCAATTTTATGTTCCCATTTAACATGATAGTGTTAAAGAAAGATAAAACCTTAGTTGAGAAAGTTGTTGAAACAAAGGTTTACTATGATGGTATATATAGAGAAAAATATTCATCGATTAGATTGATTATGTTGTTGATTATTAAATGTCAGAATTTAAATATGTGATTTTATTTTATTTTTAATTTATTTGTTTTACTTTGACATGCATGTATTTTCTTTTTAAGGGTAGTTATGTATGTTAAAGATATAATCTCAAAGAAACTAAAATAAAAGATTGTATCATCTTGATTTAGAAAAAAAAAAGAATTGTTTTATTTTTGTATTTTGATTTAATTGAAAGATAAAAGAATACAATTAAAAGCTTTTTAGAAAATTTATTGAATTCAATATCATAATTCCCTTTTTTTCCCTTTTAATGTATCTATTTTTTCTTATAAACATTTTTTGTTTTGTAATTCATATTAATGTGTTAAATACTTTCTATACCAGGTGTTTTGGACATTGTATTTTGACTTTGAGCACAACATCACTAGTGAAAAAAACACTTTTAAAATTGGTTGTTTTTTACTTTTAAAATCGGTTCTGTGACCGATTTTAAAAGAGTCGATTTTGAAAACTGGCACTTTTAAAATCGGTCACTGTTGACCAATTTTAAAAGTGGGACTTTTAAAATCGGTCATGGCATGACCGATTTTAAAAGTTGTTAATTTTTTTTTCAAATATTTGACTTATTTTTAAGAGGATCCCTGAACAAAACCTGCAAATTAATAAAATACCAGACAATTCATATATTTTTAATATACCAAATTACATACAAATAACAAGAGTTGGTAAATGTCAACCATATATGTAATTGTTTGTGGGGGATTTCGTTCGTAGGTTCTTTTTGTTCGAACTAGCACGAGTTCACGTTTCAATTTGTGGTGTTCGTGACATGACAGAATCGAAGACTTTCAGCGAAGGAAAATAAAATCGTACAAGCAGCGAGTAGAGTTAAATTAGGGTGTTTTCTCAGCACGTCAGAAAATCTATGCTCATTGTTTCGAGCACTTCAGAAGATCTATGCTGGTTTGGCACATCAGAAGATCTATGCTCACTATTTCGAGCACGTCAGAAGATCTATGCCAGTTTTAGCACTTCAGAAGATCTATGCTTGTTTCAGCACATAAGAAGATCTATGCTAATTGTACAATCAAATTCATGCATATAATAATTAACGTGAATCGAACAGATGACATGTAAATTGACTGCAGAAATCATATCCTTCATTAAACGGTAACAGAATTACAATTCGTGAGGATAACGAAACATGTTCAGAGTGACTACGCTACACTAGGCTAGATTATGCTATGCTACGCTATGCTACACTACTCCTAAAAAGGAAAAAGAAAAGTGGTCGAGAAATCGTACCCAAAGCTGTCTCGTATGCACGTTGTGCCTTGTGTGCCGGCGAGGAGTGCGTGTGAGAATTATGGGAATTAGATTTCTGACCCCTACTACGAGCAAGACTCGTTTAATTTATAGACAAAAAGACAAAGATTCAGGAAAGTTAACTGTTTCTGACGTGCCCCGAAAGTGCATAACCATTCTAAACTTCCACATCGTGGCTTATTCCTGGGCACGTCTTTGGATAATTCGTGGAACTGCTCACTAACTTCCCTAAACCGTTCTGCAGCCTTTGACACTTATCCCATGCTACTTCGACCACTCTTAGATCGTGTCTCCATTAAGTTCTTCATTCTGAGAGGTTACGAAGTGTATTCGTGTATGTCCGGATTCTTGGGATTTCGAGTAACCAACGAAAACTATAATTGAATGTTTCCTGATTTTTGCTTGTACCTTGAGGGGTTGCTAGGCTGAGTCCTCCTGAATAGCATCCTTCCTGGTGCCATGATTTCGAGAGCTTCACGAAAAGTGTCTTTGAGTATCCTCTGATTCTCTTCATTTATGAAACCTCCTTTGCCACTCTCCAATCAATTAAGATTCCGAGCGCCTCTGTATTTTGAGTGTCTCCGAATTCATTTTCGGGTACTAACAAATGCCCCCTGGAAAACATTTGCTTCGAAGTAACTGAGAACGAATGTTTTTCATGATAAGGCCTTATAGCCACTTGCATCTCATGAGAATTAAATGCCCTGACAATATTAATTCCAAATCTCTCCTTTTCGTACCTGCTGCAGTGATTTTGGCGGCACTGATTCCGCTTCTCTGGGATACGCTGACGCAATTTTTCAAATTTGTCCGTTAGCAAATATTTTCGGTTACCCAAAAATTTGAATTCCCTATTTTTTGAATTTCACCGCGGGCTTTTACTGCACTTTCGGCCCATTTTGCTCTTTCATATAGCCTTTTACTTTGTCCATTTGAGTACGTTTTACTGTTTTCTAACCCTTACTCATTCATCTCCCTTCGAACTCTTTACCTTCGTCCTGCTTCCATGGCCACTTTTGCTGCTTTCGCATCCACGGCTACACTCGCTACTTCGACGATTTCCCCTACTGTCTCTGTTCCTCTGCTGACGGAGAATGCAACTATTTCCCATCTGAGTGAAGGGGCTGACCCACTCGTTCCTATTCCTGGCATGGAGGAAGCTAGTCTCAAAATCTTCCAATCACAGGTACTTCTCCCTTTTTCGCTTTCTAACGGATCAATGCATGCTTTTCAAGGACCCTTTTCGAATCCGAGCAGGAAGAAACCTCATAATGATTTGCTTCCGGAAGATGATTCTACTCTCCCTTTCGTCTATTCTCCAACCATCGATCTGTCCCTTTTTTCGGACATCGCGCGACTGTTTCGGGCTTTTCCTCCTCCTAAGGACAAACAAATTCAGTGGTTGGAACGTGTTGAGGCCTCGAAGCAATCTATTTGGAAAGAAGTTGGAATTTTTGATTTCGTTCAACTATCGAAGTACGATCTGAACGTTTTCGATCCTCAGATGTTGTTATCTGTCGTTTTCTTCTGGAACCGGGAAACTCGCGCTTTCGAATTTCCTTGCGGTTTTGTCTGCCCAACCCTTTTGGACATCGCTGCCCACGGGGTTGAAACCCTTAGGGGATCGATATCTTCCTGATATTCTCGAAGAAGAGATTCCGATGACGGAAACTTCAATTGTTTGGGACAAAAAGACGTATTCTGCCTTCGTCAGTGCACACCACGACGAAGAAGGTACCCCTGTTACTGATTCTGAACACATTGCCTTCTTGCTCTACTGGCTGTCTGCCTGTGTCTTTTGTACCCCTTCTTTGCAAGTTCCCAAATACTACTACGCACTCGCCCAAGCTTTGCATTTGAAGAAAAAGATTTGCTTGAGCAAATTGTTACTTGCCTCTTTTTATAACTGTCTCGATGAAGCCTCGAAAAGCTTGTTTCAAGAAACTGGCCCTCGGAACCTCACAGGGCCACTTTGGCTTTTGAAATTATGGCTTAATGCCATTTTTGAGAAGAAACTGGAACTCCTTCCTCTCCAAGCCTCCATTCGGTATTCTCTTGAGGGCGCTCAATTGACCGCTTTGACTCCTAAGAAGAAATTTGTTGATGGTTTTGCCCGTTATGTCCAGGCTATTCTTGAGTTCGAGGAATTCACGAGTGATCTGGCTCCTTTTATCCGTTCTGATTTGGTAGGGCCTTCCTGGTTAATTGGCAACAATCAGGTAGGGCAAATTTCCCAGGAGATGGTCGAAATCTGGATGGGATTCCTGTCTTGAGATCTCATCTTCACTAGGATGAAACAAAGGGATGTGAGAGTCTATCCCTATCAGCCTCAAATCTTTGCCCGTCAATTCGGGCTTTGTCAACTTAGACCAATACCTCTTTTTCCCAAGGACAGGATTGACTCTGATGTTTGTGTAGAGGATGTTGATTATGAGGGGTTTCTGAAGTTCATCCTGACGCCTTCTACTCAATTGAACATTACCCCTTGTTCTTTCCTTCCTGCATTCTTGGTGTCCAAATGCTACCTTCGATGGTGGTGTGTTTATTACACCGACAGGATGTTTTCCTTCGAGGACTTTTCTCGGAGACTTACGAATTCTCCCTTTTCTGTGCAGGGTCTGAAGATTTCAGGTATTTACGATAATCACAACATTATTTCTCAGTTCGAACTATATTACAGAGTTTGTTACCGCCCCGAAAATATGTTTTGAACTATTTTCGATGCTACTTTATCCCTGACTAGAATGGTACAACGGAACATCCGTCGTAATAAAGTCATTGATCCTCAAGGTCAAACTATTTTTGCAAAGTTTTGTCCTAAGGACATACCTCCTCTACCTAATGCCCTTTTCGGCCTTGCGAAACATCTTGATTATCCTCCTTGGGTGAAAACCCTTGATCCCTTGTATGAGGATAGTAAGAACATTCCTGTTAAGGATCGAGTGACGAGCACGAGATGTTCTGTGTATGATTTTCCCAGGGATAAACAATGGCCTTTATGTTGGGTTGACAATACGATTGTCTATCCTGGTAATTAAGCTTTGCCTTTTCTTTCTGTGCCAGCTTCGAATTTCACATCTCTACTCATTTTCCTTTTCTTCTTGTTTAGCTGCTGTTGCCCAAAAATTTCCTCAGCATCCCGAGGATACTCAACAACGCGAGACAGCTTCGGAGGATGACGAAGATGATACTTCGTTGAAGCCTCGAAAAAGAAAGACCCTTTCTGACCGACTTCGGTCTCGTTCGAAGGTAATATGTTTCTTCTTTCCGAATTGTGCTGAATTTATAGCCGCTCATGAATTTGCATTTTGTTTTTTGTAGGAGGTTGAAGTTCCTAAGAAAAAACTTCGTTCAGATTCTCAAAGTGGGCAATCTGTAAGTTATCTTTCTGAGTGCACTCGAAATTGCCATTCGAATGTCATACTGACCCTTTCACGTTTTACGTTTTGCAGGTTTTCACTACTCGAAGATCCTCTCGAGACAAAGGGAAACAAAAGGCAATTTTGACTAGGTCTATCCCCAGACCTAAAGTCCCCACTGAGAAGCTTATGAAGGATGTGTTCTGTTGACTCTCGATTTCACTTTTCTGGCCTTTCTCGACTTCGTGCATTGTTACAATGCTATTCATAATAGGTGGTTTCCTCCAATGTTCTTACGGCCACCGTTCCTGTCACCGCGCCCACCATTGAACCTTCCCCTCCTGGTCCTATACAAGGTGATGCACCTTCCTTCAATTTCGACACAGGAGTGTCCTCTAGACAAGGTAGGTAATTACCTCTTGGTCATTACGGTATTCCACCAAAGAGTATCTTGTCTTACTGAAATATCTTTTTCATGCAGGTCTAGAGGTAACTTCTGAGGACAAACAAACTCCTCCTTCTGGTCAACCTGCGAGTTCAACTGATGCTGTCCCTTCCGACACTCTGCTGGCTTCTATTCCTCCAGATGACATAGACCTTATAAGCTTCTTCAATAACGAAGCTGCCCAAGATGACATTTTTGAGGTCTTGGAGAATTGGACTAGCGGGACTTCGGCTTCGGGGAAGACCCAAGAAACCTTTGCGAGCTTTCAACCGCTATTATCTTCCTTCCGTTCGAAAGCTTATGTGGATCATCTCGATCAAGCTCTTATGGACCCTCAATTCAAACTGGATGTTGAGCGGATGGTTGATGAGCTGAATGCACATCCTGATCTTCCTTCGGAGGTAACCGCATAGTTAAATGAATATGCCCATACCTTTACTGCAGCCTCCGAATTGCACACTAAGTGGTCCGCTGCGCATCAAGAGACAGCTCAGATTGAGGCTGATTCTGAAGAGGATCGAAGCAAATTGGAAAGGCTCAAGACAGAATTGCTTTCGATCAAAGACTCAACTTCTCAGATCGTTCTAGAATTGATGAAGCTTAAGCAATCTGAGGAAGATGCGGAGCGTACCATTTCTGCCTTGCAACGAGAGCTTGATTCGATCAAGTCTAAACATGTTGCTTTGAAACTTCAAAGCCAAGAGATTATGATGAAGCAAAAAGGTTTGCGGGATGAAGGGAAAGGCATCTCTCTTCGACTTTCAAAGTCGTTGGATCAAAAGAGAAGATTGGAGGCATTATGTGCTTCGCGGAAGCAAAGTCTCGATCAAGCCTACCAGGCATATGAAGCACTCAAATCCAAATTCTGCAAGTGATCGAGAACCTACGAGATGCCTATTTATAATTTAATATTTATCCGCTTGTACCTTTATCGCTTTGCTCGTCTCTTTGAACACTCGTCTCAGTACATGCTATTTTCATGAAATTTCTTCAAGTATTTCCCGTTGATCACTTTACTTGCGTTTCTCGAATTTAATTCTTTGATTAAATATGCATTGTTCGAGTAGAGTCTTTCGATGATGAACGGTTTTTCCACGCCTTTCTTGAATGGATCACCGACAACACGTCTCAAAGCCATAGCCTTTGCTTTCTCCAAAAACTCATCGTATTTTCGTTCATGCACGTAAGTACGTGACCCGGCACAACAGCATTGGCCCTAATAAGTAATAACACATTATAAATATGTTATTCACGTGTGCGGGCCTAGCTGGCTCTTAGCGAATTGAAAGGATAGAGAATAGATGGAATGAACCTGATTGAAGAAAAGAGCAAAGTGTGCAAGTTCCACGGCCTTGTCAACATCAGCATCCTCACACACTATGAATGGTGATTTTCCTCCTAGTTCCAGTGTCACAGCCTTAAGATTGCTCTTCGCAGCCAGTTCGTATATGATTTTTCCTGTCTCAGTTGATCCAGTGAAAGCGAGCTGCAAAGATTCAAAAGAAAGATTTTAACTGTCACCCAATCAGCCAGGAACGGAGCCAGGATTTCAATACTGGGGAGCCGAGAATAAATAATATATAATTTATAATAAATGAAAATTAAAGTATCAAAAGCATATAAAAAAAATATAAAAAAAAATTAAAATTGTTGGGGGGGCCGTGGCACCCGTAGGTCCCCCCTTGGCTCCGTCCTTGCAATCAGCATGGTATCATTTTGAAAACTGTTAATTTCCATAAATAAAAAAGGTTTTTGTCTATGACATCAAAGCTTAAAGTGAACTTTTATTCTTATTCATATTTTCTACATTTAGAAAATATAAAAATAAAAGAAAAGTAAATGTAGAACAAGACAAGTGATAATGTAATTGGAGGGAAATTGAAAGAACACATGAATTGTAATTTTTTTATATAGAAATATGTTGTACGTAATAGATTTAACTCTTCTCAATGAAGATAAGGTACACTTTAATAAATACAAAATGCTTATAGTGGTTGATTAAATAAAAAAAATGATTTTGACACTCAATCAACCTTTTTGAATTCATGAGAAAAATATTTTTTTTATATTATAAAGTACAATAATAATTATTGATTAAAAAATCAATAATAAATATTATAATTAATTTTAATTTTTTATTTTATATATATATATATATATATTTG